GAAGGTATATAACTAGTAAATGGGTGAAGAAATTCATGAAAGTGGTAAACCAATTAAGCATTGTGTAATAGTATTATTGATTGTATTATACTGTCTAGTGGACAACGTTCTGGTGTTTGAAGCGATCGGTCCCTATTTCGAATCCCGATGGGGACAACACTCACTAGGACGTAGGTATATCTAGCTGGCGAGCCGTAAATAAGACGAAATGCTCATTCTGGATTCCACTGCTATCCAATATCCATTATTACTATCATGTAATAAGATTAGACAAGTTGGTGTAGATGAAATCAATGTTTTCTAAAAAGATTCAGACAATTAAGCGAAATAACACTGATAACTGATCAAAGTGAAGTCAATTATAAGAACAATAATAGTGATAAAGGAAGGATACAATAGGTTAAATTAACAAATGGAGGAGGGGAAACTAATGGAGGTGGGGGAATTTTATGACCAAGGTAAAAACAGTTGCCACTGTACCTACTTTCGCATGCACAGATCAGGTTTTAGTTCATAAATAGGTAAAGCCTTCAGTGTTTTAAAGAGTTGAAAACAAAGAAGATGTGAGAGGTTTGTTGAGTGGCAGAAATCAATCAAATTTTCTAGAGTCATACTTCTTACAGATTTTCTTTCACTTTTATAGAACCAAGCTGGAACGTATTGTCGTGTATACATGTAGAAAGCATTTTCTGACTACGACCAATCTATCTTGCTCCACAAGAGCTGGTGAACTGATAGATATACATAGAAGCAGTCAAATGAGGAATGTTTATCTTAAACACAGACGACTAGAAAAAGTCAATTGAAGTTTTGTTGAGAAGAAAGTTCTATTGATTGATTAGCATAGACGATTCTCGAGGATGGTTTGTTCCTGGAACAATCTTTTCTTTGAGACCGAATAAATGACTGATTGAATATTTCCTTCTTGCACATTTTTATCAATAAAACAGCACGTGGTAACCGTTTTCGATAAGTGTGCTATTTAAAAATGATAGCAGAAAGAGTGAATAAGAGGTTCTAATTTCTGTTGAATACCACCCAACTATAAAAATTAGTTAGTTATCCTTTTTATATTGCTTTTCTGTAGATGAATCTTTTAAGGAATCCATCTAATGAGAAGTACATCAAGAAAAGGAACATTCAACGAAGAACACCCGTCTAAATCAACATCTTTGTCATAGATAACAAATGTGTCGTCTATATATCTTGTATAATAGTCAAAACAGTTGATAGTTAAACAAAGTTGACTATTCTTTAGTTCCAATATGAAACAGTGTACTAACAGTAGTTCCAATGGTGACCCCATCGTATTTACATCTTTCTAATAATTTAATAATTCCCATTGTCACATTAAGAACAAGATGATATTCAGCAAAGAGACTCTTTTCAACGAATTCATTTTCAAGCTGTACATTCGTGTATATATATGGTATTTGGAAAAAAATTATATCCTGTGAGGAAAACTAAACACTATATGGTGATGACAATAATAATAGAACGGGTGATGACATAGGCATTTATGATTATAATAACACAATTGAAGTGTGAATGATAACAAATAGATTATTGTAGTATATGGAATGGTACATAGAGAGTATATAACTCAGAAGGGGGTGAAAAAATTGTTGAAAATGGTAAAGCAATTGTGTGTTATGTAATAGCATTTAGACAAGTTGGACAAGATGAAGTCAATGTTTTCTAAAAGGATTAAGACAATTAAGTGAAATAATACCGGAAACTAGTTAGAGTGAAGGCGATTATAATAACAATAATAGTGATAAAGGAAGGATACAAAGGTTAAATTAACAAAGTGTGGGGGGGGGGAGCTAATGGGGTGGGAAAATGTTATGGCCATGATAAAGACAGTGACTGAACATACTTCTTTTGTACACACAGATCAGGTCTTAGTTCATGAATAGCTAAAGCCTCTGCTGTTTCAAAGAGTTGAAAACGAAGAGAACGTGGGAGGTTTGGGCGAATTTGATAAATAATTTCAAAGTCATCGTCTGGATTTGTTGTGTGATGGAAGTCAATCAAATGTTCTAGAATCGAACTTCTAACAGACTTTCTTTCACCTTTATAAAACCAAGCAGGAACATGTTCTCGTATACGTGTAGAAAGCATTCTCTGGCTACGGCCGATGTACCTTGCTCCACAAGAGCAGGTGAACTGGTAGATGCACATAGAGGTGGCCAAACGAGGAAGCTTGTCTTTGACGCAGGTGGAGAATAGGTTGCGGCTGGTAAAAGTCAACTGGAGTCTTACTGCGAAGAAAGTCCTATTGATTGATCTGGTAAGACGATTCTTCAGTACATCCGATGCTAGGTCTCCTTTAAACTCTTTCTGTCTATAGATTTCATTATTGAAACTAAATTGGACATAAAATATGCACTTCAACAAAAACTTTTAAACAGTTGATTGACAGTTCTATGATTATAATCACATATATCACAGACAGTCACGTTGAGTGGTACACTTGTGAGCAACGAAGTAATGTCTAGTGAAAACATCATGTTGTCTAAAATATTCAACTTCTTAATACCCTTAAGAAACTGAAATGTATCACGAATAGAAAAACTTGGCACTTGCCTTCGAATAGGTTCCAGAGTTTCGGCCATTATTATTATTATTTTGTCCCTTGGGTTCCTACTGGAACATTAGGCTTCAGTAGCACGTCGCCTCCATGTCACCCTCACCTCGGACGCTCAACTAACTCATCGTTTCCCTCTTTTGAGTTCCACTCGACGGCCCGGCCCCAAATGGTCTTCTCAGTGTATGCCTAGCCCATCTCCACTTCCTTCCAGTGCATATTTATTGGGCGATGGGTTCTTAATTGGTTCTTTGGTAGCCAGAGTTCTTCCTTGCTTATTGTTTCTGGTCATCTGGTCTGATCTTCAGTATCGAGTGAGCGTAGGCGGCAGCTGTTGATGAACGTCTGTAGTTTGTTAGAAATGCTTTTCGTGACGCACCAAGTCTCTCAACCACCACATTGAAGCACTGACTTAACTGACTTAGTGTTGAAAATCCGAATCTTGTTCACGCTTCATGGTGTGTACAGTGCAGTAGATCTCCACACGGATTATTTCAGATTAACACAGGAAGGCCTGTCTTGTTTTTCCAATCCTGGCTTTGACATGCTCATCTGTGCCACCTGTAGTTGAAACGATGCTGCCTAAGTATGTGAAAGACACTAGTTCATTTTGGTTTCTCCTGTTAATGGTGCTTGTTGTTGTTGTTGGTTGGTTGGTTATCTTCACCTCTGGCTTCTCGATGTTCACATGAAAAAAGTCCTGTCTTTGCTGCCCTGCCTGTTCTGCCAACTTGTTAGTTTTCACCTGTAGATCTTCGAGTTTATACGACATAAGATATTAGACATAAATAAATTATCATGGGCGAAATCTGAATGTTTTAGGGTGTTTTGATGGGTGAAACAGTCATCGTATACCCATGTTTTCGCTCCTCATAGTTGTCGATTGCATGATCCAGTTCAATCGAGTCGACCACAATGAGGAAGATGATCGGTGATGTAGGCGGGAACCTTGTCTTTTCTTACTCCTGTCTTCACTTCACTTGAAAGGCGTCTCTGAGCTTTCCATTGTGTTGTGAATCACTTGGCATATGGCATATCTTACTTCTCGATCCACTCTGTTGAAGGCCTTTTGAAAATCGATGAAGTTGAGGTAGGGAGTTGACTGCCATTAGATTTTCACCTAACTATTGAGCAATTCAGTGATAAGGTGAATGAGTCATATCTGAGATGAGAAAAACACATAGTCCATATAGACGTGGGATTATGGAATCAACTGGTTGGATACGTTCATATTAAAATTGGAGGCAAGTATTAACTTGTATTTCAATTATATGTGTCGTTTTGGTGTCACCTTCAGGTTAACGATTGGAGAGAATTGTCAAAAGTTTATTAATATATTCTTGACGCTTCATTAGGTCAACACCTTGTCCTTTATTAGGATGACCTGGGAGTAGAAACACCAGAAAGAAGTGAGCTATAGTTTGAAATTGACCCAATCTGTCAACCAATAAAAAACAGGAAAACGGGTAAACTTTACGTCAGCACGACAACTAATCGAAATAAATATGGCAACACTGAGAAGACTCTGACAGAAGAAACAACCAATCACACACACAATGCCATCAGGATAAGCTAATAAACCAGTTATAGACTAAACCCTATAGCTCACTTCTTTCGGAACTTCGTGGTCCTGATAATGACGTTGTGTAAAATGACGATGAAAGCTTCGTATAATCAATAAACCATCTAGCTAAGAGAAGACAGAACCATCAAAATCCTCTTTTTCCTTCTTCATCATCTCAAAATCCCTAATAAGCGTCAAATCCCTGCCAAGAGGAAAGCCTCAGAATAGAGAACAACTATATTTATTTTCTTCATGAATGTCTAAGTCACCATGTTCTGTTAACTAGTGTCAGATCCAGACCACCTATGAACTACTCAATGGGCTAGAAAACAGTGGATAAAATTGGAAGACACAGGATACAACTGATGATCATTGATGTAAGAGAGAAGACTTAAGGGGATACTCACAACAGAACAGTTTACAACTCTGGGATTCATCATAGAGTGGTATCAGTTTGCGGAACATCGGAAACCTTGGAGCAATGAACAGCTAACTGTTTCGTCCTAGCACGGGACTCGTCAATAGTGTGTACCCATCACCTCGCCCACCCCACCAGGGATCGAACCCATGACCTTCATGTTCCGTGACCAGCTGGTTACCACTAAGTCACTGGGTCGGTGGAATCCAATGGTCCATATTTCCAACTTCTGTCAGTTCATGATATCGTGCGACTAACATCCAGTGTCATTGTTGAATAACTGTCCTCATATTCGACTTGGTTAACTCCACTGCTCTCTTGTAATATGTTTATCAAGGCGATGAAATGTATTCCATGCTATTATAACCCTGTCAAAGTTATTACTAAAAACTGTATTGATTTCTTATATTTTATTCTCTGTTATACAGACTAATCAGGAGTCTTCAGACTATGAACGTATATATCCTGTTACATCTACCGAATCCACTATTCTAGTTAACTGTATCAATACTGGGTTAACATCATTATCAGGTGGAAACAAAACACTGAGACTAGTCTATGTGATAAACAACTTGAACATTCCTACACGGAGTTGTCAGGTATGTATATATATGTATATGCTAGTAAGCATCTTTTTCCCCCCTCTCTACGGTGACCTGCTTGCACTTTGCCTACCTCATTTTATCATGGAATGAATATATTCCATCAAATTTATCCTTTCCATATTGTTTTAATCATTCACTTGTATCAACTAATCGGATTATAAAGCTCTCCCACATTTTTAAAATCATTACAACCTATCACATTACAAGTTGATAGGGGAATACAGAAAAAGGCACCAAGGTGGATAGCAACTGGATCACAAGCTCATGACTATTCTGGAAATACTTAAGCACAAAAACTACAGGTGGTTACCGTGAAGAGAGTTGATTACCTTCAATCACCCTTATCCATATATGTATCGAAATATGGGTGTAATAATGTTGCAGGAAACATGACTTCATCCCCTTTATGATGATGATGACGATTTAGTCTGTTTAAATGGTTTCAAATTATTATGGAAGGATCGATGCTTTTCCAAGAAGAAATGTGGTGAATGGTGTAGCAACATTTATCAATACAAGCTGACCCACCTCCAACTATGTTTTGCTTCACCCTGTCTAACGAAAAAATTGAATGTCATCCTAAACATTTGAGTAAATACAAACATATAGACATAACAAACGTTTATATCACACTTGATTGCAGTTTCCTCAGATTTGTCAACGTTTGATTATGAAGTTACTGAATCTGCTGCTCCGATTCTGTGTAACTCCTTGTCTATAGTCTGTGGAGATCTTAACTCATGTGACTGTAGTTAGTTTCCTAGTATCATTTGGTTATGAGAATGCCGTTACCTTCTCTACTTGTCTTGATAACATCCTAGACTTAGTATTTACAAATGGTTGTGGCATATATGAATCTCTACTGCTGAATTCTGACCACTATATTGTACGTGTTACGCCTAAAGTGTACAGCAAATCACACAAGAAGGCTTTCTGATATCTTTCCAAGAAAGTCCAATACAGATGTTATTCACAGGAGAATATATTACATTTGAGATGCATACTCTGAGAAACAAACTGGAATATATTTGTTGATGAAGTAATTGACAAGACTGTCAATAATATTACAAGCTATCTCATATTCTGTCTCGACATATATTCTCCTGTTTAAACAATTTAAATGAGATTTGACAGACCTTCCTCCTCTCCTCATCTCATCTGAAGAGGTCTCAGAGAGAAATGGAAAGGTCATATGAGATGAGAGATCATCCTGGTGTTGAAAGATTTAACTGCCTAATTAGGTCTGAAATACAACGTAGAAATACTACATACAGCCAGAAGTCCCTGACGTGTAAAAACTCTTCTAATATATGGAAATTTTATAGCGACCTTACTGGTAGAGAAGGGATACCAAACAAGCTGGTTCGGATGTCTACGCGTTGAACAAGTTATGCATGCATCGGTAAGCTGATCCCATCCTTCCCGGTATCTATAGTGAAATGGATAGCTCCCTTCCTGGTTTCAATATAAATTTTGTATTGAAATGTCTTAAATCCTTGAAACCAACCACAAACCTACGTCCTGATTGATGGTGTTTTGAGTATTATATTTCGAAGATATCTTCAATGCATCGTTTTCTAAAAACACAATGACTGCTGCTTCGAAAGACACTAAAGTTGTACTTGTGCCTAAGTCATCTTATGGATCAGATGTTATGTGCCAACCCATCTCTATAACTTACCCCCTCTTCTGAAGACAATGGAGAAATTGATTCTCCTTGTGCTTCAGCCTTCATTCAAAGTTTTCAGAGATACAAAACAACAGTCGGCTTACAAACACAGGAGATGTAGGTTAGATGTTATCAATGTCTTGCATCATCATTATATTGTTTCCAGTCTAGACAGAGGTGTTAAGTATGATCGTTATGCCTTTTTGGATTACTCATCAACCATTGAGTCTGTTACAAAGTGACTGTATTCTTATTTTTCTGAAAGGTAACAAAGAGTATAGTGTTTATAAAGGGAGGTGCTCCACTTCATTGTTGACTGAAACTGATGTGCCTCAAAGTAGTGTAGTAATTCTTCCCTTCCTCTTCTCCTTCTTTTTGCCTGATTCACCTCATTCTGTTGAAGTTAACTTTATTAGGTAGGCTGATGACCTGACAGTGTCTATTCCAGTCAACTCTCACTTAGATTACTCTCAATTCTAAATGGATTCCTGTCTGTAATTGACCAGTGGTGTCTCTCTCAAGTCGTCTCAAGTTAAACCCTTGTAAACAAGATGCCCTTGTGTGAGCTAATTAAGTCTCATGATGACTGTTTCAGCATTGATGGTATTTATGCAGAAAGTTAACCGAGTGTTAACTATCTTCGATTTAGATATACTTCTCATCTTGTTGACTTCAAAGGAAATCTTCGCTTTAACGTTTTGCATAAAGAAACTGAAGTCGTCTGGTATAACCAGGTACCTCTACTTTTACATCTTATTAATTCGTGCATTTCACCTATTCGCCTCTATTGTTCCTCACTGATTGTTCCTAGTCTAGTAAGAAGGGGACTATGTGTTATACTGTGTAGGGCTTTGAAAGCCGTCAGTCAGTAGGGTGAGTGAGTGGTGTGCTGCTATTCTACCTCAACTGACTTCTAGCAAGCAACTAGCTACAGTCATCTTAACTGACACTGAGCATCCAATTCATTCACAAATCTCTCCTTATATCTCATCTCAAGGAAGCTGCTTGTTCGTACAACTGAGTACAACAATTCGACTGCTCCCATCTTACCTAGCATGCACATTATGTGAGGAGTAAAAGGTGACAGAACAGAACAGAACAGAATTCACACATATCAACTCCTCTGTAACAGTTAACAATCTTATTTCTTCAATCATCTAATTAACAATGTAAAATGTTCTCCATGTTATCAATATCCTTTGTATTACTTAAATTCTTATGATAAGACAACTCGAAATGTTGTACAGGAGGAGAGACATACACATCTGTTATGTTGGTGCAATATATCATGCTGAGAATTCCATATTATACTAAAAATCGTTAGGAATAAAGTGGTTACTATTAGGGTTGTCATTATTATTATGATGATTAATAACAAGACTATTTCACAAGTGATGTCATCTCTTCGAATTTTATTTACAATCCCTTTACTCTGAATTTCAATAAAGTTAGTTGTAATGGAATTTAGTGTTAAAATTAATTGGATTCATTAGGAGATGTCAATCTTCAAGTCCACATTGTCACTGGATAGTTAAGTTCTTCTTAGAATGAGATATTGTATTGAAAGGTGGAAACTGGTATGACTTTGAAGAGGATATATATTCAACTATTATTGGTTGTATTATGCCGTAGTTGATTGGACCGAACTGATCAGTCTCTATTGGCATATGAGATCCTGTGCGGATGCCCCGATATTACCTGTGTTCCACTTATAGTAAAAATGGATAGTGCCTAGCAGTGGAATCCAGGATGGGCAATTCGTCCCATTTGGGACTCGTCAGCTGGATGTACCTGCCTACCAGTGAGTGCTGTTCCCACCGACACTTTTAACTGTTGAAAAACGCCAGTCAACGTTCAACCAAACACTTTCGAGATGGTTCTGATAAATGAAAGTGTCTGAGAGATGCTTTTCAATACAAGGGGGTTCGGTTATGCAAACGTAAAAGAATGAATACCCTACATAATGATTCACTTTCGCCAATAGTGATTATATTTCCTTCGTCCAAAAGTTTTGTCTCCTTATTTTAGCTACTAACTATCATGCAGTAGTATAATTGAATTTTTATCATTTTCCAACTTCATGCGGATAAACAATGCACTGACCAATCACTGTATAATCAAGGGTAATAAAATCCTTTGTTTGTTATTTTCGTTTATCCTCGCTTGCTTTTGTTTTCATCAATTGTTTCATTAAATTGAAGTACTGGTTGTTGGTAGTTTATTTTCTTGATATTATATAGCATTTGATTGATATTGTAGACTGTGCATTCTAAAATGGCTGAATTGGATTCATGTAAAAAATGAATAGGAATCTAGAAAGGTGCCATTTTAACTCACTGATTACTTCGTAATCTGTCTAAAACCTCCAACGAATGTCTCAGTCGCGGTAGGATTCGAATGACCAACTTCTAGAAGTCACATTAGTAGTCTACCAAACAACAATTATCTCACATAGTCAAATTGTAAGAAGCAGAGATACGAGAGATATGTTCCATGTTAGTGAGTATTAAACTAGGACATAAATTACTGAAAACTACTGTCTTGCTCAACTATGTTTCCTGTAAATCAAAGGAAATGAGAGGAATGGTGCATATTATAGATTTCACGGATAGTCCAGAAATTATGTCTTTACTTTCCATTGGATATATGAGAACGAATTTATTCTTTTGTGATGTATTTTTTAGGTAAATGGGGATTTTATGTCTAAAAGTAGTACACATCACGGACTGATATCATGCTTCGAGGTAGTTGTAATAAGAAACCATGACCTGTAAGCTCAATCACTCGGAAGTGACGTGGATACCAGCTGAAGACGTTGAGTGATCGTTGGGCTATATCGATTCTGAGCGTAGAATCTCTTAAACAGTGGTTTGTGTTGTCACACGAACCTCAGCCGGCTAATCTGCATCACCCTCTACATGGCTCAAACCAACATTCAAACACTTCATACAGTGATACCATGTTTCAATTTGACGGCCTTGAGCCTTTTTCTAACCTGAAACCTACTCCAGGTAACATCATACGACGTGGAAGACGGTGATTGATTAGGCATGCATAGGACATATCTCAGTTAAGCATCTCAGTCGGTGAAGGTTCACAACTGCGTCAAATGTCTCATTTCTTCTCCCTAAAACTCTGTGTCTGACTTCTGCGTTACTTACATGGTGATACCACGAAGCACGGTCTATGCTACGCAGGCAACGGTGGTCAAGCACCTGAAGCTTTCTCAAGTCTTCTTGCTTTGATGGCCATGTTTCACAGCTATACAGTAGAGCAGAGTGGACTGCAGCGCAGTACTCTCGACACTTAGTAGACAATCAGATGTCGCGGTAGCACCACAAATGGCGTAAGTTGGCAAAAGCCCACCGACCCTTTTGTATCCGTGCCGAGATTTCGTCAGCCACTGACCAACTCATCAGAGCTGATTCGATTTCCAAAGTGAGTGAAGTGTTCAATGCGCTTAACCACTTCACTGTCTATTGTTTACCTAGACACCGTTGAAGACCAGTTCTGCCGAAACAGTTTGCACTTGGGTGACAAGAAACGCATCGCAAACATTCTCAAATTGCCACTCAAGGTGTCCAGAAGACTGCATCTTGTTAGCGTCTTCACGTAAAACAGGACTCTATCATCAACGTATTGTAGGTCAGCCAAGAATTCTCTTCTGATTAGGTTAATCCTTGTGTAGTCAGATGACGAGAAGGAGACTTCCATAAGAATCTGTGATAAAACGGAATAAGAATGGAGAGAGTGGGCATCCTTGACGGACATCACTTGATGTACACGACTCACCTGATATCTTAACATAAGCTCTAAGACGTCCACAGATGCTCGAGTAATGAGCCTTCAGCAGGATGGTGTACTTATTCGGTACCCTTTCCAATGAGACCTTTAAAGTCAATCTTTAGAATCACTCGTCTAATCATTTAGAAGGGTTGGACGGGGTTGGATTCTCTGAGTCATCGATATTGGAGTGACTTTATAGATCATCTTAATATTATTGTTATTATTATTTTTCCCTTGGGTTCCTCCTAGTGGAAAATAGGGCTTTAGTAGCACATCTCCATTCCACTCTCTTCTCTGCAATCTTTTGAACCTGGCTCCACGACAGCCCACAAGCTCTCATTTCCTCCTCACACGATCTTCTTCATGTCACCCTCAACTGGGCCGCCTAACTCGTCACTTCCCATCTCGGTTCCACTCGAATGCCTGGTCTGGTGCGTGATATCCCCGAATGGTCTTCTCACTGTATGCCCAATCCACTCCACTTCCTTCCAGTGAATATTTGTTGCGCGATAGGTTCGTTGCCAGCCAGCCAGAATTCCTCTTTGCTTATTCTTTCTGGCAATCCATCTGATCTTCAGTAACGAGCCAGCGTAGGGGGCAGTTGTTGATGAATATCTGTAGTTTGTTGGAAATGCCTTTTGTGACGCGCCAAGTCTCTGAGCCATACAGAAGCACTGACTTGACGTTGGTGTTGAAAATCCGCATCTTGTTCTTTGTGCTAGTTTCAGGCTAATGAACGCCTGTCTTGCTTTTCCGATCCTAGCTGGCTTTGACATCCTCGTCTGTGCCACCTGTAGTTGAGACAGTGCTGCCTAGATAGATGAAAGAGGCTGCTTCCTCTAAGTTTCTCTTGTTGATAGTGAATGGTGTTTGTTATTGTTGTTGTTGGTTGGGTATCTTCATCACCTCTGTCTTCTCTACATTCACTTGAAGTCCCGTCTTCGCTGCTTCTTCTGCCAACTTGTTAGTTTAGTTTTCGCCTGTAGATCTAGTTTGTGTGACATTAGACACAAGTCATCACTGGCGAAATCTAAATCTTCAAGGATCTCTTTTCCGGTCTAGAGTATCCTCCTCTTCTCTCTCCTCATTGTTTGTTGCATAATCCAGTCCACTACAATCAGGAAGAGATTATCCTCATAACTACTGAAATAATTGATTGAATTTCTTTATTTTCTAAATGGGAATTAAGAAGCTTTTTTGTTGTTTTGATCATTGTTAAGGCTACACTATAAACTGGCTTTCAAAGGGTTCATTGATAATAGCTGGACTCCGAGTAACATTCAAATCATACATTGAAGGTATTTACATCAATCTATATGTCGAATGACTTTAAAAGCCACTTTAACGATTGCTTAGATAGCCAATTAGATCTTATGTCAAACTAACCTGCCCTACCGTAATACTCAAATCTGATTGGTTACTTCAACTGTTGTTAGAGTTACCTTTAAAGGTGAGATAGCCGATTGCATTCCTTTATTCTGTAAAAGGCTACCTTCTTCACCAAAATATTGAAACCTAATTCGTTTATTTCAGCAGTTGTTAGGGTAACCTTTAAAGTCACTCGAATTTTATGCGAATGATTCCAAAAATCATCGTAGTAACTGCATAATTTATGCATTTGCTAGAAAATTGGCTTTCGTATAAAAAAAATTACCGAGACGTGATTAACTATTTCAGTATTTGTTAAGAATGACCTTTAGGGTGACTCATCTCTGCTTGTATACCGGCTATAGTGAGTAATTATGATCATTTACGCGAATTATTATCATGATCACTTGTGAGTCACATGACTTTTATAAATGAGAATTGGAAAGCTGTAAAAATCAATGATTGTTAAGGTCACTTTAGCGTCTACTGAAACAACCAATCAGATTTCGATCCTGAAGGTCGTTTATCCTAGAACAGAGAAATGTAATTGGCTATCTTTCTCGTCTTCTTTTTCTAATCACCTGGTATCTGATTGTCTCTTATCTTCTAGGTTCTAATCATGATAGTGGTGCCTATGCTCAAGTCTATTCCACTATATCAACTGATTCAATATTAACAACAACTGAACCATCCAATCCATTTAGTCATATTGTAAATTCACATCCCAGTGGTGATGGTATTATTGTTCCCAAAGATTTTTCTCATAACAATAGTGGTAATAATAGTAATAATCTTATTAGTAACAAAAGTGAGGCTATGGAGACTTCAGTGTCAGCAGGTGTATCGCCTTCTAGCTTTAACAACCCTGACGTGGATGGAGCTATTTACAATGTGCCAAAATTATTGCCCAATTCATCAAATAGTCTGAATGACAGAATGTTAGCTGAAATACAAGCCTTTCGTCATATGGATAGCGAATGTAAGTATATAGTAGTATAGTTTCTACTTTTCCTTTGTTCACTTTACCCAATCTATGTCCATGTATATATTTTTAGATAGTCCTCATCATGGACCGGTATCAGTTCGAGAACCATTGAAAAAACCTTGAAGAAATTCTTTCATCCTAATTTGGGTCTCCTCAGCAGTATGCACCCACGAACTTAAAACCTTCAGATCTCTCAGCGAACATCTTTCCATCGAATCACTGCATCGGAGTTCACTGGTTCAAAGTCTCCTACTTCTGTCAATTCTGCAACACAGCCTGACTATCCATCGACTATGATTTTGGATGAAGGTTGCTCGGGTCGTGAGCGCATACTTCTGAGGAAGGATTGGACGAAACAGCCTTCGCGTTCTCAATGCTTCTCCAACTAATGTCTTTCCGTGATGAACGCTAAATTTATTATTATTATTTGTCCCTGGGGTTCCTAGTAGAACGTACGGCTTCAGTAGCACGTCGCCATTTCAATCTCTTTTCTCCCATTTTTTCAACCTGGCTCCACGACTACCCAGAAGCTTTCATCTCTTCCTCATGTGATCTCCAATTCACCCTCGGCCGCCCAACTAGCTGGTCGTTTCCCTCTTTTGAGTTCCACTCGACGGCCTAGCATGGCGCGTGATGTCCCCAAATAGTCTTCTCAGTGTATGCCCAATCCATCTTCATGTTTTTCTGTATATTTGTTGGGTGATAGCCTCTTACCTCGTTGGTTCGTTGCCGGGCAGAGTTCATCCTTGCTTATTCTTTCTGGCCATTTGATTTTCATCTTCAGTATCAAGCGAGCGAGCGTAGGTGGCAGCTGTTGATGGATGTGTGCAGTTTGCTGGAAATACTTTTCGTAACCCGCCAAGTCTCTCAACTATCACATGGAAGCACTGACTTGACTGACTTAGTGTTGAAAATGAGCATCTTGTTCATGCTTTTTATGCTGAATGCAGTGGAGTGCAGTAGATCTCCACACTGATTTCAGGTTAATGCAGGAAGGGTCTGTATTGCTGCCTTTTTTGATACTGGCTGGCTTTGACATCCTCATCTATGCCTGCGTGGGTGCCTGTAGTTGAAACGATGCTGCCTAGGTGTAGGTAGGTAGGTAGGTGAAAGAGACAACTTGCTTCAGATTTCTCCCTTTGATGGTGATTGGTGCTTGTTGTTGTTGGTTGGTTGGTTGGTTATCTTCATCACCTCTTGCTTCTCGATGTTCACATGAAGAAAGTCCGGTCTTCGCTGCCCTGCCTGTTCTGCCAACTTATTAGTTTTCACCTGTAGATCTTCGAGTTTATACGACATAAGATATTAGACATAAATAAATCATCATGGGTGAAATCCGAATGTTTTAAGGTGTTTTGATGGGTGAAACAGTCATCGTATACCCATGTTGTCGCTCCTCACAGTTGTCGATTGCATGATCCAGTTCAGTCGAGTCAACCACGATCATCGGTGATTGCAAGCAGCCTTGTCTTATTCAAAGTATATATATATATATATATATATATATATATATACATAACATTTTACATTCCACCATTTTTGTAGTGGACTTGACTCAGTCTGCGAAAACCTTGGTGACTGATATTATCAAAGGCGATCGCACATGTACAATAAATTCAGTTTTGGTAAGTGAGTTATGTTCATGTTTTGTTTATTACTGCCGTTACTCCCATTTTACCAAATTCTGTGAAGGAGTAAGTCATCAACTAAGGCTCTTGTCTTACCTACCACCGCTCCAGGGATCGAACCCGCTACCTTCAGATTCCGTGGCCAGCACGTTGCCACTGGGTAAGCGGGATCCAGTGATCCATATTTCCAACTTCTGTTAGCTCAAGATATAGCGCAACCGCCAGCCAATGTCATCGTTGAGTAACTGTCCTCATGACTATCAGCCTTTGCCCCCACTGGTCACGACTTCTCATTGGGACTTCGGGACTACCTGTCGAAGTTAGCCACCAATCAGCACTAGTTCAATTGAATTTTGACGGAGTTGTGAGGATTTAGAAATATTTCAAGTTGTTATTCATCTTAGATTGGTATCAGTTGGAGGAACAAAGGCAACCTGGGAGCACTGGACAGCTGTTTCGTCCTAGTATAGGACTTCTCAGCAGTTTGCACCCACGACCTCGCCTGGGACCGAACCCATGACCTACAGGTTCCGTGGGCAGGATGTTACCATTGAGCCACTGGATCGGAATCCAATGATCCATATTTCCAATTTCTCTGTGCTCACGACATAGCGTGACCTTCAATTTCATCGTTGAGTAACTGTCCCCACACCTGACTTGATTGACCCCACTGGTCACAATGTGATAGCATTCTAGGTGCGTACGGCATCACATGCCAGCGTATCGGTAACGCTGATAGCCCGTTTTAATTGTATTCCGACAGTCACTTGCCTTAGTTAATGTCCACGGACACAGATGTATCATATCGCTTTCAGTCATTATAGCAGATTGAAGGCTCGAGGATTGTCACTCTTTTGGAATACATTTTTAGACTCAAATGGTGGGTTAGTACGGGTCCCTCGGGAATAACCTGTCGAGCTAGTCACCAGTGAGCTTTAGTTCAATTGAATTCCGAGTGGGTTGTGGGGATTTAGAAATATTTTCAAGTTAGTTATTCGTCGTAGACTGACATTAGTTGGAAGAACAATGGAAATCTGGAAGCATTGGACAACAGCTGTTTCGTCCTAGTATGGGACTCCTCAGTGTTGTGCATCCGTGATGAATATCTACCTGAAATCAATTTCTAAATCCCTAAAAATTTCTACTGCCCAATTCTCATGCTTCGAGATACGATTTCCGAAAATCTAATAAACAGTGGGACCAACCAAGTTGGACGTGAGGAAAGTTACTCAACGACAACATTTAATGGAGATCGCACAATATCGCAACCAGATTCCAATCGAGTGGACTCATGGTTCCATCTATTCTAATCAGCATAGAATCAGGCATTACTGTGTTGCTATCCGAGTTGCCAGGGCTCATATCATATCATATTACATCAAGTAAAACGACAGTGAAGTGTAAGATGAAGAAAACTCAGTCGGATGAGATATAAAGTACTAAAAGAGAGAAAGGAAGGGTGCGAAAATCGTGAGATTCGGTATACATCTGCGCCACTGATATTGGTTCTCAGCCATATCACCTAGAGTCAGTCTCCAACCACTGATTTTTCTTGTCCCACCGACACCTATTACATAGTCCCCATCACCTCCCTACATGGCTCAAACCAACAGTCAAACACTTTATACATTGGTGCCATGTTTTAGTCTGGCCACCTTGGACCTTTTCCCAGCATGACGACGCAATTGGCGACTAACCATCTCAATCGATGAAGGTTCATCACCTCGTCAACTGATTTACCTCCACCTGACTTCTGTATTACTCACATGGTGACACCATCGAATGCGGCCTGTACTGCGAAGGGAACGTTGGTCAGACACCTGAAGCCTTCTCATATCTTCCACCTTCAATGGTCATGTTTCATAGCAATGTGGTGGAACAGAGCGGACTGCTGTGCAGTAAATGCGACCCTTAAAAGACAGTCAGATATGATGGCCCCGCCACAGGTAGCGTAAGCTGGCAAAAGTTAGTCAAGCCGTTTGTATCCGTATAGAGATTTCACCGGCCACTGAGCCACCAGGGCAGGGTTGATCCCACTTCCCAGGTAAATGAAATGGTCAACACACTCAAGTACTACACTCTCTATTATTAGCCAAGACAGGATATATTTTCATTAGCCAAAGACGCATAGATAGTAGTTAAGCGAGTAGTGGTATATTCATCATCTGTGAGGAGCAAAAAGTAGGTAATGAACTTTCATCATATATTTCATCAGGGAGTCTATTCCAGATATGAGATAACTTATTGAGGAAGAAATTACCTCGTAGGTTGGTCTTACAACATTCAGTTTTAGTGAATAATTTATGATTATGTATATTGTAAGTAGATGTCACAACTATTTTAATTTCCAGGCTGTATAATAGTCGATTTGCTTACAAAGTAGTTTATAATAAAATATATAATTCAGTCTAAGCATGTGATATCTGGCGATATAGTTAGTCTACACTGCAGTCAGCTGTTAGTGTAGGCTGCTGTTGTACCTCTTCATTTTTGTTAGTTTTTCACTTATGTGGAGGTCACTTATAATAAACTGGCAGTATTCTAGAATTGGATGGATGGATGCATATTTTGTGTAGAGTAGAACCCTTGATTCAATACTGTATAAAAGCTACAAATGATACACTCTGGTAGTTTTGCTATACGCTACCTGTTCAGAGAAATTCAAGTCAATGGAATATTTAAGCCCTGGATATCAGATAGAACGAACTTTTGCTAACTTTTGTCCACAAATGTAAGACAATATAAATTTGTTTTAACCGATGTTTCGTTAAATAGCTTTATCAAAGTTATAGTAAAGCGGAATTTACAATATCCCCTAACCTTATATGTATCCATAACTTGATAGGTGTTCTTCTGCACTCATGATTCCACATTATCATAGTTGTTAGAATAAAGATGATATCCATATGTTAGTGTATTGTGTGTGAGTGGAGGTGGGAGGGAGGGGGGGATGGGATGGTGTATAAATTACAGATCGAGGTTTGTATGTGTACACATATGTTGATTGATAGTTCTTATCTCATGTGTATTGGTTATATCCGTGGTGTCACTATGTGAGTAACGTGGAAGCCAGTTCTACAGTTTTATGGAGTAGAGGTAATTATGTTGACGAGGTAATGAACCTTCATCGACTGAGATGGTTGGCTGTGTATGATAAGTGTTACGTATACCCAGTCACCGATTACGTCGTCACACAATGTTGGCGTAAGTAGACTCAGGCTGTAAAAAGGACTGAAGTGACCAGACTAAAACGTGGCATCAATGTATTAATGCGTTTGACTGTTGGTTTGAGCCATGTGGGGTGACGATGCAGACTGGGTGGTTGATGTCCACGCAACAAGAGGAGCCAGTGGTGGTTGGAGACTGACTCTAGGTGACGATATGGCTCAGAACCGAAGTCAGTGGCGCAGGCGTATCCCCACACACATTATCCTCATCTTAACGACGCTATACCGAATCTCACCATTTTCTTATTCTTCTTTTCTCCCTTTTAGTACTTCATATTTCTTTTGACTAAGTTTTCTTTTCTTCATCTTCAACTTCACTGCCTCTTTAGTTGATTTAGTGATATGAGGTGTGGCAAGTCGAACTGCTACGCAGTAATGCCTAGTCCCAATTTTGATATTGATGATGATGTTGATCATGTCAGAATTTTGACTCCAGTTTATGTGACGAGATTCTGACATGTGACGTTTTTTTATAATTTCTAAAGCCTTTCTGTGAATACTTTCGATCTTATCAATGAGTTGACCTTTTGACCTGAAATTGTAGTGTATAGAGCAATGGATGGTATGTTTTAACGTTTTTTCCAATCCCACTGGATTTCTGAGGGGGGTTGATGGATAGAAGCTTTCTGGTGTTAATTTTTCCTAATTTTGATTTCATGTCATCACAACAATCTGAGTATTTTATTTTAAAGTGACAATTAGAACGATCAAAGAACTTCTACACCACCCCAGCAGAAATTCAGTGGAACTGAAAAACTTCAACCTTAGCTTTATATACTATAATTTCAGGTCACAAAGTTGACTTATTGACAATATCGAAATTATTTAGAAATACTTTAGAAATTATAAAAAAAACTCATAAGAGAATCGTTTTGCATAAAGTGGAATCAAAATTGTCTGAATAGGAAGGAATGAAGGAGTAAGACGTAAGTTGACTTAGTGTCCACCCACAACCACCCACCCACTTACATAACCAACATACATACGATAAGAACTACTAATCAACATATGTGAACATAAAAACACAACACACTACATATGGATATCATCTTTATTCTACGTAGAATTATCAGTGCAGAAGATGAACACCTATCAAGTTATGGATACATATAAGGTTAGGGGATATTGTGAATTCCGGTTTACTATAACTTTGATAAAGCTATTTAGCAGCGAAACATCAGTTGAAACAAATGAAATGAGACTGGTAAACTAACCAAAATGAATTGCTAAGGCTTAGGTATAGAAAGGGGGGGGGTTCACAAAATGCTTTTGAATGCGTAATTTCGTCTATTGTTAATATTCTTCAGGTCTATTCATAAGTGGTAGTAACGTAGATATTAGAGTAGTTTATTTACTTTTGGAGATGAATCTCGAGGAGTTGAATGACCTAACTTTGTTAGATGTCTCATTTCATTTGTTTCAACTGATGTTTCGCTGCTAGTAACTTTATCAAAGTTATACTAAACCGGAATTTACAATATCCCTTAACCTTATATGTATCATAACTTGACAGATGTTCTTCTTCTTCACTGATAATTCTACGTTATCATAATTGTTAGAATAAAGATGATATCCATATGTTAGTGTATTGTGTGTGAGTGGAGGCGGGAGGGGGGCGGGGGGATGAGATGGTGTATAAATTACAGATCGAGGTTTGTATATGTACACATATGTTGATTGATAGTTCTTATCTCATGTGTATTGGTTATGTCCGTGATGTCAGCACGTGAGTAAGACAGACGTCAGGTATAGAGTTTTAGGGAGGGAGTAGAGGTGATGAACCTTCATCGACTGAGATGGCTGGTCGGAACACATAGTACATATGGCTAGTCGCTGATTGCCTCGTCACTCCGGGAAAAGACCCGAACTGGTCAGACTAAAAGATACCATGAATGTATGAAGTGTTTGACTATTGGATTGAGTTTTGTGAGGTGGTTAGGGTCTGTGGGACAAAAGGAACCAGTGGTTGGAGACCGACTCAAGGTGATATGGCTGAGAACTGATGTCAGTGATGCAGATGTATCCCCCACACACATTATCTTCATCTTAAGACTTTACTGAATCTCACCGTTGGGAGACGTGAAACTTGGAGCATTAGGCAGTAATGCCTGTTCGTTGAAAGTTAAAGACTCCACCTAAGCTGAATAAACTCACATTAGTATTTATCATTAGTGTATCATTTTCTATTATACGTTTATTTATGATAAAAGGATGAATACAATATTGATTTACAAGGTGAACATGTGACTGAAATTGTTTCTCTTCTAAATTGTCAATTGAAACCTAATAAGATTGTTAATACTGGAACAATTTCATCAAAATCTCAAATTAACAATAATCCTACTGAAGTGTCATTGATGACTTCATTAATGGAAGAATATTCTTCAACAAATGAATTATCATCATCATCATCATCATCATCAAAGATATATGGGAAACAGTTAGATTGTAAGAATAAGACTATAGATCATTGTACACCATCATCATCATTATCTTCTTCATTGTATCATTCATCAATTCTATCACCATCATCTTTATGTAAATCAATTAAATCACCTTTAGTTTTTTCTGTTTATGATCTTCACTGTAATCATACTACTAGTTGTAATGATGTTGTTATTATTAACACTGGGAATCAATATATTACTTCAAAATATTCTACGTTATCATCTTCTTCAACGGTTACTGTTACAGCACCATTTGCATATACTGAACTCACTTGTATATCAGATCTATCAACATATGATGATATTGATAATTTATCATTGACATCAACATTTAATAAATCTACTACTACTCACACTACTACTACTAATACTACTAACAATAGTACTACTTATTACAATCCAACTAAAAGTGTAAATAATTTAAGCAATGGAGGTATTAGTATACGTAGTGTCGATAGGAGTTAGTTTTTTTTTGTCCTGTTGTTTGTATTACTACCTCTCTTTATCATTTGATTGGTGTCCTCTTTGTGTCTCCCTCTCCCCCCCCCCTCGGCCTACTGTCTGTCTATCAACATTCCTCTGTCTACTCTACAAATTCTATGCTGTTCCTTACATCGATTATTGATTTATTGATTGTTTAACGCTATCAATCGGTCGCATTTATTACTATTATTATTATTATTATTATTATTACGGAAATGAATATACTTCCTGTTTATTTACTTTGATATAGCCAAGTAAGCCATCGTGGTTGTGTTTTTTGCCCATTGTTGTTGTCTGTTGATTATGGAGGATAATTTCAATTGTTTTTTTTTCAGTGATTTGTTATTATGTTAACGATTTATCTTTTGTAATTGATTTATTGTTTTGTTTTAGGGGAGTATATTTTGACTCCCGGGGGGGGGAGGGGGGGGGTTTATAATCAAATTTTTCTCCGGTTATTCATTGTTCACTATTATTAATAGTGTTGTATTGTTATCTTCCCTTTTTCTTTCAGGATGATTTATTGTTGTATTATACTGTATGATTGTGTGAATGATTTTCATGGTGTATGTTCTTCGCTTTTTTAACTTGTTAACTGGTACGTCTCTGTATGTGTGTGTGTGTGTGTGTGTTTGAGTTCCCAGTGTACACTGGTCAGTGTATTCACAGGAGGTGTCATCTTCTACAAGTATGGAGACATATAAGTTTGACGATGTTAACTAGGTATGGTTTAGAAGATGGATACACCTTGGGTTAGGGTGGGGTTCGAACCAGCGCCCCTTGGATTTACGGCCCAGTTATTTACTACACTACCCGACCGCTGACTAGATTTTAATTTTATTCTAATTACCAAGAGATTTTCTCGATTACTAGGTGAATTCGTGATGGGTTGGTATTATTCAATCGTATTCACAGAGGGGTAGCGCATCATATTAATACTGAGTAATCTAACAGTTGGTTAAACCTTTGGTAATTGAAGTGAAACATAAATATGATCATCAGGAGAAACAGAATCTTGTAACTGAATTGATAGAGCCCTGGCTTGGGAACCTGCAGGTCGATGATTTGAATCCTGTCATTTTCCATCCAAGCAATGGTAGTTGTTGTATAAGTTTATCTTTTTCATTTCTCGCTCCACATATAATCATGGGAGTAGAGAAGATAAACAAATGAACAAAATACGCAAACTTTAAGTTGTTATTCATCGAAGACTGACATCAGTTGGAGGAACAAAGGAAACCTGGGAGCACTGGACAGCCGTTTCGTCCTAGTATGGGACTCCTCAGCAGTGCGCACCCACGACCCCGCACCAGCAGGGATCGAACCCGCAACCTTCAGGTTCCGCGGCCAGCGCGTTACCATTGAGCCACTGGTCAGAATCCAATGCTCCATATTTCCAACTTCTGTTAGCTCACGATATAGCGCGAACCGCCACTCAATGAATAATAACTTGAAATATTTCCAAATCTCCACAACCCCCTCAAAAAAAATTTAATTGAACTGATGCTCATTGGTGACTAGCTTCGAGAAGTATTCCCGAAGTTCCAATGACAAGTCGTGACCGGTGGAGTCAAAGCCTGATGGCCGTGAGGACAGATACTCAACGATGACATTGGGTGGCGGTTCGCGCTATATCGTGAGCTAACAGAAGTTGGAAATATGGAGCATTGGATTCTGACCCAGTGGCTAGCTCAATGGTAACGCGCTGGTCGCGGAACCTGAAGGTCGCGGGTTTGATCCCTGCTGATGGGGTCATGGGTGCGTACTGCTGAGGAGTCCCATACTAGGACGAAACAGCTGTCCAGTGCTCCCAGGTTTCCTGTGTTCCTCCAACTGATGTCAGTCTTCGATGAATAACAACTTGAAATATTTCCAAATCTCCACAACCCCCACGCAAACTTTACTTTCGGATTTGACTTTTGTATTGCTGATATTAGGGTTACCGTTAAACAATTTTGAGGTTCATACGTTATTCCTCTGTTCTGGATCATGGAGCCTCCATTTACTTCACTACTGAGTATTGTTTTTAATACAGTGATAAAGAAGGCCATTAGGAAAGTACTTTTTTTTATACTTAAATATCAGCTGGGCAAAGGAGAAATGAATGATTGATTGGTACAGAGCATACTCAGAACGTTGATTGCAGTTCAGTTCTTGGTTTGTCATGAATATATGCATGACTATGATTCAATTTAGCATACTCTTGAACTAACCAATAATTAAGAGACTAAATGGAACATTTTCCGTTTTTATCGAACTTCATATAAATTTTCATGATCATGGAACTGTATAGGGAGCAAATAAGTAACATCTGTTTTCTTTGGTTTGAGAGAGTGACTTCATGAAATCGGAATGTTTCACCTTGAGATTAAGTGTAGCTTATGAAGAAAATACGGAGAAAATGTCTTTATCTGAAGAGATTCTTCGATGAAGACTCAGGTATCTGTGTGTGTGTGTGTGCGTTATCAAATTACGCAGCAAGTCGCATTCCTTCAGTGAATTTTTAACAATTTTGGTAGGTAAGAGTCAGTTTATCAGCGTTGATCGAACTATATAGAACTAGTGTGTGTGTGTGTGACTGATAGTTGGATCCAAAATATCGAATAGCCAGTTTACCAGACCATATACTAATCGAAAACATGATGTACTACACAACCCACTAACATTCGACTGGTCAATCGGCTTAGTTTAATATTTTATAAATTTGAGTTATACTACTTGTAAGTAGCCTAAATAGTTGGCTAAATATTTACAGTCCTAGATGTAGCTATTTACGTAACCACTATGTCTATGCCGAGCGCTATTAACTATTGTAAACAATCTGAAAGTACTTATGATAGTAATGCAGAAATAAAGCTTAGTTGTTTATTTCACACTCCTTTCCTGTTTAGTCGAATCCAGGGCCTACAGATCGTGGCTAATGCGCTATAACCGTTGGCACCTTCATCACCTCCGACTAGCCGAACACACGTCATGGCTTCTCATTAGGAATTCAGAGATATAGTATGGTGCTAAAGGGTCCCTTACTGAGACGAGACTGTTTTCCAGTGCTCCCAGGTTTTCAGTGCCATGTTGAATACCAACTTGAAATCAGTAAATTGATCCTTACTGACTTGCAAATTAAGCAAAATGTGTTTCGTTGAATTTTGGAGGAGTTGGCTCAATGGTAACGTGCTGGCCACGGAAAGTGAACGTCGCTGGTTCGATCCCCGGTGGGGTCATGGGTGCGCACTGCTGAGGAGTCCCATACTGGAACGAAACGCTGTCCAGTGCTTCAAGGTTTCCTTTGTTCCTCTAACTGATATCAGTCTACGATGAATAACAACTTGAAAGTGTGTTTCGTTAGTCTGTTTGATTGTTTTTCTCAAAACTGATTGGTTGACTGAAAAAATCAACGTAGAACTTCGCACACAAGTAGTACATCGGTCCAACTTACCACACTTCATAATAGCAGTATGCAAACAACAAGTGAGTCGGAAAGGAGTGATATAAAAATGCACAAAAGTGTATGAGATAACGGTTAGTGTGAATATTCAAGCTTTGGAAGATATCAAGAAGTAAATATATCCGAGCCAATGTGGTCTATTTTCAGCCATATCACCAAGAGTTTTCATCCACTGATTCCCATCATCTCGCGGACTCCAACTAGGCAGTCTACATCTATCAACGTGACTAAAACCAACAGTTAGAGACTTTATGGAAGGTGCCTGGTGTAAGTTTGGTCACCCTTAACCCTCTTCCAACCCAATCTAATTTCTCCTGATATGACACATCGCGATACGCTGTGGCTCGACATACATGACATCTGACTAGACCACCTCAATCAATGAAAGTTCATAATTGTATCATCTTTTGATCTGACTTTTTCCTGCTTTTATGAACTACAGACTGTTGTTTTATTTACATAAATAACTGAAATTTCTTAGTATGTCTTGTTAGACTTATCCGATAGTATGTATTCTTTGTTAACCTATGTCGTCTCCTGTCAACTAATTTCATTTAACTTCAAAGTAGTCTATCCAAATCCTTCTTTAAAGGTTTTAGGCAGATTACGAAGTAATCAGTGAGTTAAAATGGCACCTTTCTAGACTCCTGTTCATTTTTAACATGAATCCAATTCAGCCATTTTAGAATGCATAGTCTACAATATCAATCAAATGTTATAAAATATCAGGAAAATAAACTACCAACAACCAGTACTTCAATTTAATGAAACAATTGATGAAAACAAAAGCAAGCGAGGATAAACGAAAATAACCAACAAAGGATTTTATTACCCTTGACTATACAGTGATTGGTCAGTGCATTGCTTATTCGCATGAAGTTGGAAAATGATAAAAATTTAATTATACTACTGCATGATAGTTAGTAGCTAAAATAAGGAGACAAAACTTTTGGCCGAGGGAAACACAAACACCATTGGCGAAAGTGAATCATTATGTAGGGTATTCTCATACGTTTGCATAACCGAACCCCCTTGTATTGAAAAGCATCTTTCAAACACTTTCATTTGTCAAAACCATTTCGAGAGTGTTTGGTTGAACGTTGACTGGCGTTTTTCAACAGTTAAAAGTGTCGGTGGGAACAGCACTCACTGTAGGCAGGTAATCTAGCTGACGAGTCCCAAATGGGACGAAATACCCATGCTGGATTCCACTGCTAGGCACTATCCATTTTTACTATAAGTAGAAAACAGGTAATATCGGGGCATCCGCACAGGATCTCATATGCCAATAGATACTGATCAGTTCAGTCCAATCAACTACGGTATAATACAACCAATAATAGTTGAATATATATCCTCCTTAAAGTCATATCAGTTTCCACCTTTCAATACAATATCTCATCCTAAGAAGAACTTAACTATCCAGTGACAATGTGGACTTGAAGATTGACATCTCCTAATGAATCCAATTAATTTTAACACTAAATTCCATTACAATTAACTTTATTGAAATTCAGAGTAAAGGGATTGTAAATAAAATTCGAAGAGATGACATCACTTGTGAAATAGTCTTGTTATTAATCATCATAATAATAATGACAACCCTAATAGTAACCACTTTATTCCTAACGATTTTTAGTATAATATGGAATTCTCAGCATGATATATTGCAACAATATAACAGATGTGTATGTCTCTCCTCCTCTACAACATTTCGAGTTGTCTTATCATAAGAATTTAAGTAATACAAAGGATATTGATAACATGGAGAACATTTTACATTGTTAATTAGATGATTGAAGAAATAAGATTGTTAACTGTTACAGAGGAGTTGATATGTGTGAATTCTGTTCTGTTCTGTTCTGTCACCTTTTACTCCTCACATAATGTGCATGCTAGGTAAGATGGGAGCAGTCGAATTGTTGTACTCAGTTGTACAAACAAGCAGCTTCCTTGAGATG